ATACATATATGTATAGTAAACTTTATCTATACAATACATACATTGCTAACCGTACTGTACAGGTTTGCTATATTCCCTCGGTAAATCAATTTTTTAAAATAGAATTAGATAAAACTACGTGTAATAAATTTAATGAAATTGTAAAAACTAAGCCCAATTCAGGAATAAAGATTATTGATGAATATATTTAATAGGAAAATAATCTTTTAAATGATCCTTGGTATAAGTATTTTTGTCCTAAGATAAAATGAATTTTTTTGTTTTGTTTATTTATTGAATAAATTTATTGTTAACTTAAAAAAATTAAAAAGTATTGTTGCTTAGATAAAACCCAAGAAAATTGGAACTACTTTTATAATTATTTAAGTCAAGAAGGTCAGAACTTAATTGTGGACTTGTTAAAAAATTTTGATATAAGTAGTGATATTTCATTAAAATTTAGAACAGAAAGTGATAATACCCTTATAACTAATGATCATATTATAAATGAATTTGATAAGTACAACATTGAAACAAGCATCTCTATGGCTATTTAAATTTATATTTATTTCTCAAAACCAATATTTTTTTTTAATATTTTTATTCATTTATTTTATAAAAACGGGTTTAAAATGTAGTTATAATCTTTATTATTTATAAAATGTAAAAACGTTCAATATAAAAAAAGTAAAGTGAAGAATAAAATATAAAAAATATAAAGAGCCGGTTACTATAGAAAATTTTAATTGTTCAAGTGAGTCAATTTAACTCTTTAATTTTTCTGGTTATTGTCAAACTTTACTTTTATATTTTCAATTGTTTGTAATCCGTCCTGAAAAACTTCATCCGAAAAATTTTTTTCTTTGTTGTTTATTTTTATTAGTTGCTTTAGTACATCGGATTTGAGTTTCAATAATACATCTTCTGCTAATATTAGATTTTTTTTAGTTTTGGTTTTATTAATATCTTTTAAACTGCGATAAAAAATATTATTTAAATCGCGCAATAATTTGTAAATATTTTGAAAATTTTATGATTGATATAGATATATTTATTGATTTGTTTATTATTAGGATTTTTGTAATATGATCTATCATAATTCCTGTTTGTAGTGTAATTTTGTTATGAAGAAGGTTATTTATTTTGATTTGCAACTTTGATATAAGTTTACTTTTAATGCATTTTCTGGTAATTTTTTGTTTGGGAATTTCATTTTAAAATATTTCAAATTTCAATAATAGATGAAATGTGTATTAAGGGAATATAATTTTAACAATTCTTCAATAGATACTGCTTTTATAATAAATTTTTAACGCCAAGAATCGTTATTTGGGTATTAGCATAAAATAGTGTACATATTTAGCCTAATAAGAAGTTGTAGAAAGCGCTTGCATACAGTTTTTATTATTGTATAGTCGCGCATTAGCATAAAACTACTTGTTTATCTTATTGATTCACCATTATTAATTTGTATGACTAGTTAATATGTAATTGCATCTTGTTCTATTTAACAAACGAACAGTAGCGCGTACTACTTTAAACTGACATGATGGTGACACCTTGCTTGTTTAGGAAGTTGTGATTTCAATTCATATTACTAAGAATAATTTTACTTATTTGTATAACGCGAACGCCCGGAACACTAAATGCTTATATTATTTAATGCACGTTTTTCTCAACTTATTTAGTATTGTTGAATTTTACTAATGATATATATCTACTTCTCCATATGGAAAGCACAGTCAAAAAGACAATAAGGATCTAAACATTTTAAAGATTATGGTATTCTTGTTTAGAGTACATTTGATTATGCAAGCACAATTTATTAAAAATACTGCAATTCATTTTTAATATATTATTTTACAAGAAGTGGTTTATTGGATTGGAATTAATGTATAAATTTTGTGCATGACGATAATCTATTGCTTGCGTCTCATAAAAAAACTCAAAGAATTCTTCGATACCAACTAAGGAAATTTTTATATGGTAACTAGAGTGGTTTTTAAATTTGGAATAATCAAATAAAATTGATAATCACGACAATTGAATAGGATAGGCTTTATTTACAAGTTAATTGATAAGGAATAAAAAACTATAGATTTTAAAATACCGATATTGTTAGACAGGAGTAACAATCGAGTTTGAAAAAAAGAGTTTAAAAAAATATAAACAGCTACACCTAACGTAATAAATTCAATATCATTTCCACGATTTTGGCTGACAATACTGGCAATTTTATAAATTCTTCAGAAGACATTAATGCTTGTTATAATAAAATATGTTTTTTTTAATTTAATACAATTATTATCTCTAGCGGCTTCGTATCTAATAAGTTGCCATTTATCATTCTCTTCTTTATGTGAAATCTAATCATAATATAAAATTGGATTTACAATTTTGGAGAACTGATTTTCTCTCATTCTTCTCGATAATAAGACTCATCACCCAATTCATAACGAAGCTTTTTCACATATTTATCAACCATAAAATCTTTAATAGATTCACAGTGTATTTGGTTCAATTCCCCAAAAGTCCATGAAAGTTTTGCCTCCTCCCCATCTAACCGCTCGACGAATTGTATCAACATTCAGAATTCATTGAAATAAGGTGGTGATAAATGATATTTGGCTCCGCATGCAAATGAAATAAATCATTGAATAGCTTGAGCTTCTGTTTCGTTTTCGAGTATTTTTATAATATCTTCAATTTTCACGATTGCTTTTTTATAAAATACATCTTCATTGGATGAGTAACTAGAAGAACTGCGTAGTTGGGGTTGAAGTTTGTCGAAACCTGTTTCAGTTTTTGTTTTAATGTAAAACCAAGTTTTGAACATTTTATAAATTTATTTCGAAAAATTATAAATGCAAAAATATTATTCTAAGCTTTGATTTATAAAAAAAAATGGTGGCTGATTTCATGTGAAAATGCATGTTTGAAATTAAAAAAAAATCTAGATTTGTAAAATAGATAATCTTACGCAAGAAGGTAACACAACAACATGATAATATGGCTAACACTAATTGATATTCGGAAAAAAATACTCATCGCAACAGTGAACTTATTAATAATGATAATCTTGATGAAGTTAAAAAACGACTTAAACAAATCGAAAAAATTGAACAAAGCAAAAAAAATTTATACATTATTTGTGTATAATTTAATATTTATAAATTTTTAGTCATCGAAAAGCAATCTGCGATAATGAAAAAAATCAAAGTATTATTCGTTTGAAATCTAATAGTCGATTATGAGTCAGATCGACCCAGTGCATACTTTTATATAATTGCAAAATAGCGATTTTATCATATCTTTGTTTCAATTTTCAATTTCTAATCGATTTATTAATGAACTTATTTTTTTTTTGTTGATTGGACAGTTGAGTATTAATAAATTTTTTCTGAATATCTATACAATTATCGTATCCTTAATTATGTTTGTCGAATAAGTCGACGTTGATAAATAAGTTTGCACACGATTTTTTTTAATGAGTCACGTCTTGCTCAATTAGGAAGTTGACTATCAATTTACTTGGCATATGCAAAACTTTTTATATAACCAACTAGATGAGGCGAGGGGTTTTTTTCATGTGCGGCGACTTCGTCGACGCTAGGTGGGACATGTAAATGGTCGTGCTGCGGAGAGTGGTTGGGGCTGGTTTGATGTTTGGTCTGAAGATCGTGTATTATTTAGGGGATTAAGATAGAGTTTTTTTTTGAGAATTGAATAAAGTTTCGGGATTTAATTTTAAAGTTTTTTATGTTTGTGTTGTTGGTTTTTCGAGTGGGTTGTGTTTGTGTGTTTGTTAGATATCGGTTGTAGTGGTCTGGAGAGGGGTAGTGGTTCGGATGCTTTTTGTTCTAGTCTTTCGTATTCTTTTATCATGGAGGTATTGACCGCGAATGCTTTCTGGTTAGTGATCTTATTTTTACGTTGTTCCAGTTGTTGCATCTGCTTAGTGCTACGTACGCTTGTCCTTTTTCAAACATCTGTGAGTCTAGGTTTAGTGATACGTCGGGTAAAGTTAGTCCTTGGGTTTTGTGGACCGTGATGGCGAACGCGTTGATTAGTGGATATTGTGTTCTGCTTGCGGGGACGCCGTTTATTATGAATGATGAGGTATGCTTTTTTATTGCTATTTCTACTGTTGTATCCCAAATGCGTTAATGTCCGAAATGCGCATTTCGGATATCCCAAATCGGAATGCGCATTTGAGATAT